TCACATATAAACACTCATTTACATGAAATTCTGTACCTATTAACATCAGGCTTCCCCTCTAAGTTTGATTGATTTTTTTCCCCCACTGTGCCAGGCATAACATGAAATTGTCCCATGATTCAGTGGTTCACAGAGAAAAGAAGTTAACACTGAAAAGCCACTTTGCCATAACAGCTGCAATAGCAGGCAACTACAAAATCAGTTAATGATAAGAAAGTTAATGATAAGAAAGGAAAAAAAAAAAAGGGCACTTAAATAGAACAATACCACCATTGTAAAAACAGATTTCTACTGTTCCCTCATGCGCTTCCAACTGTTTACAGTGTCAGGAGCATAGTACCTTCCTGTCATTTCTCTGGGAGGTGGCTCTTTTACACTGGAGGTTAAAGGGAGGAATCATTTTTATTTTTCTATCTTGAAAAAGTTTTGGAATAGACATGTTATGTGGCTCCTCTTTGTTTTTTTCAGAGTGAAAGAATTGAAAAAGGCCAAGGAACTTGAAGACACACAGCAGCATCCCGTAGCAATGTGACATTGCTTTTCAGACTGTTTTCATTTTCTGTTTTTAGCAGAGACATGCAACAACAACAACAAAAATACCCACTGCAGTTCTGGAAATACCATCTGCAGGATTTTAACAGTAATGTTTTGGTCATTGCATTTGCACTTTCATGGACAACTTTTAATTTGTTCAGCAAGACATCTTGGAACTCAATCTTCTGTTGGATCATAGGAAAAAAAAAAAAGAGACACCAGGAAGAATTTGTGAGTTGCTTCATTCTCCAAGACGGAAGAAGCGATTATTTATCCTTTTCATATAGGGCTGTATTGAACAACATGTGGAACTGTACAAATATTATACCAAAAATATTGTTAAGAAAAGGTGGGAATGCACAAGCAACACAAGAATGTTGTTCCTGCACTTGTCAGTCATCTCCAAGAAACTGAAGCTTTGAGAGTCTCAGTGGAGGGGCTTAGATCAGTACATCTTTATTGGGTCCATGCATCCTCATTTCCTTCGCTCTTCTGTCCTTTGTGTTTCTTTTAAATCTCTACAGCACACTTAATGCAACTTTTTAAATCTGCAGGTTTTTAATACATCCCGTGGGAACTTACAGAAGGGGTTGGTATATGAGATAAACGGGTAATGCATGAGAAACAGAGAGAGTAACTTAAGCAAGTTTTAAAAAGTTTCTTTTTCGTATTTTTTTACTAGAACCTGCAAAAACATATCAATTGTCATGTACTTTCTCTCATATTCAGCACTTTATTTTCTAGCCTTACTTTCATGTGCTATTATTTTAAGTTCTTAAAATAATTTGTAAGACGTGTAGCTTTTTATCTTAAGTAACTGTCAAACCTCTTGTCATTTTGCAGAGTCACATACATATGTTGCCTGGACATTTTATACCACCTAAAGATCAGAGTGGTGCTGCATTCTGGCCAGTAAATTTCTTATTTTGGCTATTTCATCAAATCTGGGCAGTTTCTGTATATATAGAAGGTAGAAATGGAAAATGACAAAATATTTGAAAGGGAATATATTGATTAATTACTAAATATTTTATTCATAAAGGGTCAATAACTTGGCAAGATAAAATTATTATTTGTATAGTTTTGTCTGAATGAACGAGAAGAGTGTGGATGTATTGTTTGTACATATTGTATATATTAAAACAGAGATATGTGCATGAACTCAAGAAAAAGAAATGAACAAAAGCAAAGCATTAGTGGCTATGGTCTGTAAAATGAAACAAAAACTTTATTTCACTATAAGAAACTTTATTTTAAATGTTCTTTAGAAGAACATTTTTGCTAAAGCATGACTAAATGGCAAAAAAGAGCTACTGTATTTAGACTTAGGAAAAAAAAGGCAGAGCAACATTACTTTAAAAAAAAAAAAAAAAGAAAGAAAAAAAAAAAAGATATGTTTACATTTGATTTTGGCTACCAGGAGTTTGGTTTGGTTGAATTTCATTTATTTATTCCTTCCTTCTTCCTCCTTCCCGCCCCCTTTTTTTTTTTGCCAATGGTGCCAAGTAATGTGAATGCTAATATTGCTTAAGAAAATTAAGTTACTTTTGCAAAGCAGATAATCATAAGAGTACAAAAAAGCGTATCTAGCTTAACACCATACACTCACTCCAATAAAGAACACTTAGAATGAACATAAAATGAAAAACAAAAAAAAAAAAAGAAATAGTATGAAAGTAGAAAATATGTTTCACATTTTCATATCTCCTGCTGGAAGTCAGAAAATGTAATAAAAATTGCACAAAAAAAATTCAAAAAAAAATTTAAAAAAAGATGCAAACTGATCTTGTAGGGGTGTCATGGTATATTGCTATTTCCACATAGTGAGGAGCCAAAGAAATTAATTTTTTTTCATTAAAGTACTAACTTAAAACTGTCAGAAATTCTCAACGATAGGAACAAGGTTCTGATCTTGATTACACAGGAATGTAAGGGAAGTAACTCCTGGTGGATTATGTACATGTGTCTGAGATCAGAAACTGTTCCTTTGTGTTTGGTTTGCTAGTGGCAGTGTAAATTTTCTGAATGGACTGGTGTAAATTTGAGGTTGTTAGTTTTGGAATAGTTGTTCTTGCTCGATCCCGGCCACCAACTGCAATGTTTAAACACAAGGCTTGTTGTGAAGCCTAAAAATATTCACACGTAAGAAACTTTTAAACTGGTGTCTTTAGAAGAAGAGTAAAAAAAAAAAAAAAAAAAAAAGATTGTGGCAAAAAAAAAAAAAACTGGGGTCAGTGCTCTTGGTGCCTTTTCTATAATTGTACCTGTTTTTAATTACTTCTTTTCACTGCCAGCATTGAATTACAGTAGATGTGCTATAGCTCATTCTCTTGTACATTTCTGAACTGCTGCTTTATGACCTGATTCAATTTAAAAAAAAAAAAAAAAAAGTAAAAAAGAATGGTCAGGCTCTCACACTGTGTCTGTGGACAGCCTTATAGACTCAATTTATTGTATGGATTTAGGACTTTAAATGTTAAATTTTCCTCACACACAAAAATAGAAATCAAGAAGAATCTCCTTTGGGATGAACAAGAAATGCTCTGTATTAATACTGGAATAACTCTGACATTCTGAAACAGAAATGTTGCTCCCATTAACCAATATGTGACGATATAGAATTGATCTTTTTCCTAGCAAGAGTAGTGACCTCAGTGGAAATATTTTAATTCCCTATATTTATAAAAACAACTCAGTAATATACAGAGCTATTTCAAATTAACTCTTCCAGATCCATGGGCCTGGTGGTGTATCTACTAACCTAGATTCTGCTTCAGCCAAATGTTTAAGCATGTACTTGCTGTTAGGCATGCAAGCAATTCCATATGGTCAACAGAAATACTTGCATGCTTGAAGGTAAGTACAGCTTCTAAGTGCTTTCTTGTGTCGGGTCATAACCCTTCAGTGTATCACTGGGGAGTTGAAAAGACTCCCAACGAAGTGAAGTGATTTTGCTCACCCTTTTCTTGATTGTGGAACTTGTGTTTTCACAGAAGATAAGTGCAGCTTCCCGGGAAAACTCAAATTCCCAAGTGCCAGGAGCCAAATCTTCTGTCTTCTGATAATGGAATTGCTCCTTTGTGAAACACACTTAACAGCAGTAATACTGTGTGAAAGAAATACAAAATATAACATGAACCCCCTCTCTGGATGCACGCTTATGGCAGTTCCACACAATAGCTGGTGCCCAACGGGGGGTCCCCAAGACTTGCATGTAAAACTAGTATAGATGTCTTCTCTTTTGTAAGTTTTATTTTTGTAACCGTGCATGTAAAGCATCACTGAATCAATGGATCTGTTGAAGAACTCAGCTGCTGGAACCATGCAAAATGTTTTGAATTGCCCTTAAAATATGGAAAATGTTTTCTGAATGCTTTATATTCTTTCTGCTGTAAATTAAAAACAAAGAAAATTTCCCCATACAAAGTGTGTGCCTTTTTTTAAAAGTCTCTTCTGTTCTAGTTTTAAAGGGTGACATACTCCTTTAGCCACTGTAAATAACCTTGAAAATGTTTCTTCTTCTAGAATGTGTTTGTAAGCTGCTTGCAAGTAGCACTCTATCTTTTAATCCAGGATGTCCAGGATGAGCTGTTCCATCACCTTTCAGGGATTTGCTTGGCTTCTCGCTCATAGGGATGCACTGATCTTGAGCTTGAAGGAAGCAATACTTGAATATTAACCAGTTCTCCTGGATACCCACACACCAGCCTTCTAGAGCCCTAACCCATGGGATTCCTCCAAGTAGGTAGGTCCCTGAAAAGGCCAAAGTCTGCTCCTGAAGTCCAGTATTGCAGTCCTGCTTATTAATTCCCGGGTTCTCCTTTGGTGTTGTGTTAGGTAGACAGAAATTAAACACCCACCCAATGCTCATTCCCCTCCCTCCCCCCTCCTCCCAGAGGAAGAGAATTGTGAGAGCAATAGTGAGGAGAAAAAAATAAATTAAAAAAGGCACGGAGATAAAAAACAGCATAATGAAGGAAAAGGAAGACAAACAAAAAGAAAAATACAGAAAGGATGCAAAGGCAATCACGCATAACCTCCCACCAGCAGACAGAGACCTTGAAAAGGCACACGCACTGCTGAGAAACACAGCAAGGCCTTGACGCTGCGCAGGCGTCAGCCAAAACACCGGTGTGTTATCAGCGCCTCGGCCGCGAATGGGAACTGCGGCACCACACGGACTGCAACGAACGGTAACGGAAACCCAGCCAGGTGCAGGACTGCCAGAACCCAGAGAGGTCCTCAGGAATGAGCCCAGGGACACTGCGGGGCTCGGGACTGCTCCTGAGGGCATTCCCCAAATTCCCCCCCAGCGCTGACAGGCAGGGGGCCGAGCTCTTGCAGGCAGCCCCTCAGCAGCTGCTCCCCCCCTCACGGTGCCGCTCTGCCTGCAGCGCCCAGCCTGAACCCCCCTCAGGGTGCCTCACACGGCCGCCCTGACGTCACCGAGCATGACGTCAGCACCCGGCTTCACGCGGCCACCTTGACGTCACCGAGCATGACGTCAGCACCCGCCCCCCCCTCAGCGGCTCCGCCCCGCCCGTGGCGTCACTTCCCGGACGCCGCCGGAGCCGCGCGCAGTTCCCGTTGGGTCCCGGCCGTCAGGATGTGAGTGCGGGGCGGGGGGCGCGGGGCCTGGGCCGGGCCGGGCCTCGGGGGCCCTCCGCGGCTCCTCTGCGGCTGGGGGAGGTGGGGAGCGGCCCGGGGGGCGGGTGGCAGCGGGTCCGGGCTCAGGGCGCGGCGGCCTTTCCGGCCAGCCTGGCCCAGCCTGGCCCAGGCCGCTGGGTGCGCTTGGGCGGAGGCTGCTGAGAGCGGCCCCGCTTCGGGCCGAGCCCAGGCCTAACCTGGGCAGTGCGCGGGCCGGGCGGGCTGCCAGCCTCCTGCTGGGGTGCGGCATCCTGTCCCGGCCTGTCCCGTCCTGTCCCGTCCTGTCCCTCGGCTCTGCGAGGAGCTGCGTGGAGTGCTGCCAGCCCCAGGGGTCCTCGCGGAAAGCATTGGTTCTGCAGCCGAGGAAATGAGAGGCGGGTTTCGTGTGACTGGGTTGTTGTGATTGGAGCCTCAGGAAGTAGTTTTGCTTCTGAGTCTGTTTAGTCTTGGACCAGCACTAAAACAGCATGAAAGGCTGACTGAAGTGCCAAAACCCAAGAGTTGTTTTGTCAGAGACTACCTGGCTGGGTGCTTGTGTATGTTTGTTTCCTTTAAATGTAAATTTGAATCCAATGTCCAAATGTGCAAAGACCGATAACATTCAGATCCAGTACTCTGGATATCAGGTGACATTCAACTGTACGTGTATGTCATGGAGAAAAATTGAAAACATGGAAAAGCAACGTGAGTGCAGATAGTTAAAAGATAAATAAATAAGTCATTAAAGTTATGAAAATGGTTTGGGAAACCACGAGCAGCTGTTGCATCAATTATGAAGACGTGGAATGTTGTACCAGGTTAAAAAGGTACAACCTGAGGTTATAAGCTTCAAGCTAACCAGAGGTAAACTGTTGTACATGCTGAATGCCTTTTATTTCTTGTGCTTTTTCTTGCTCAATGTCAACTGCTTCAAAGAAAGAAGCAGGCAACCACAAGAAGAGCACATAAACAGAACAACCATTAAGTTTCTGTACTTAATTGTTGTAAGCTATTTTGAAGATTAGTGTTTGTGCTGAGAGGGGGGGAATACCACTGAGCCCAACCTCTTGAATATCTGAACCCCATGAACCACTACTGGAGTTGTCATGTGCTTTATTAGCACACTACTGTTACATTAGCCAGCCACTAGTGTCTTTTAGCACATAAACCAATTAATTTGCAGGAGATTTCGCATGCGGTGTGACTTACACCCATAGTCAGCTGCTAAAGCATCCTTTCTCCAATAGAAAAGGAAACTTCCCTATGTTTATTTCAAGGATCAAAGTTTCCTGTTCTCAGGAGTGTCGGGTAACTTGTATACTCTATGCATATCAACTTAAAAGCAATCTGTAAAAAGAGAAGCAGAGTACTGATGACTTTCCTTACTGCAGGTCAGCCAGTGTTCCTGGAAGCTCAAATGCGGCTGCTGGCAGTAATCGTCGACTTCAGCAGACTCAACATCAAGTGGATGAGGTAAACGTTTAGTTTGTTATCAGTGTAGTCCTTTTCCTTAGGAAACTGGTAACTAGAACAGATATTTTTGTCAGTCGTTATAGAGTCATTTTATAACCTGGGGAAGCTTAGTATCATTCAGCTTTATTATACTTGTCACTTTAACTCTTGAAAACTTCTTAAATAATAATCCAGTTGGAGTGGGTAAGTGGGTACCAGTGTCCAAATGCTAGTTGTGAACTCAGTGCTTGATGGATTGCCTTAAGCAAAGATAAAGCTTGCTCTCTGTAAAGATTCTCCTTTACAGTAGCAAAGAAGGCTCACCTCCAAATACGGACATGTTGAGTCTTTGGGGTAAGCCAAAAGCCAGCCTGGCTACCAACAAGATTTTTTTTGATGTATGGTTGACTATTGAATTTAAACGCCTCAGCTCCTTCTGGAGCTAGTTAGGAATTACTTCCCAGGTTCAAGGGAATACCAGCACAACTGGCAGTACTAACACTCAAATGTCCAGCTGCAGGTGAATTCAAGAGTCTTTTCTAAGTCTGTCTTGTTTCAATAACCTAAAAGGCAATAGCTTGTACACCTTAGAGAACATTAAGAGCACCATGTTTTACCTGCAGTTGATAAAGCTGATAACTTCTGATGTAGGTTGTTGACATCATGAGAGTAAATGTGGACAAAGTGTTGGAACGAGATCAGAAGCTGTCAGAGTTGGATGACCGTGCTGATGCACTGCAAGCAGGAGCTTCCCAGTTTGAGACCAGCGCAGCCAAGCTGAAAAGAAAGTATTGGTGGAAGAACTGTAAGGTAATCATGGCTTGTACACTTAAAATATTCCGTATCACAACTAACAGCATCTCAAATGGCAGAAGTAACAGGGACTTCAGCCAGTGTTACTTGTTACAGCATCTAGTTTTAAAACATGGCAGTGGTTAGGTAAAGCAACCAAAAGCTGGATTACCAGCCATCTGCTTGATACAAGACACTGTCAAAGATGGTAATGGCCACAGGGAAACACTACCATAATCTGAGGTGCTGGGGAGCAGGGAGTAAAAAGGCGAAAAATGCATAGGTTGAGTTAATACGCAAGCAAGCACTGGACTGCAGAAAGAGCTCATTCAGTCTCCTATAGTTGTAGCTATTGGTAAAGGTTGGAGTCTTCATTGGTGAGCAACAAGGACAATGGAAAATGTGGTTTAGGATAAGAGGAGAAATGATGTTGAAGTTTGTTATTCCTGCTTTTATGGTCACCTGAAATGGGCTCTGGATGGAGGCATAGTGGAGACGAAATTGTTGGTGTACTCCAATTTGCCTGTGTTGCACAGCTTATCTCTAAGTGATAAGTGATGTTTAGTTCTCTGGTGAACTAAAAACTGTTTACTGAAAGTTTTAATTACAAAGTTAAATCTACCCCACAAAGCAAAAGTACTTCACAAAGGCTGCTTTCCTGTACCCTAAAGGCCTGTTAATGCTGCTGTACAGCTTATAGTAAGTGTTGTCTGACTTTCTTCACAGATGTGGGCAATTTTGATAGCTGTTGTTGTCTTTATCATCATCATCATTATTGGTAAGTTTCACTGAAATGGGTATTTATTAGAGTTGGAATAAATAGGATTAATTCACTGACTAGTAAAGCTTAAAGAAAGCTGAGATATTGAGATGAAGGCATATATGTAAACTTAAAATATCAATGACCACTTTAATTATTGTTGACTTGCAGTGGGTGGTTAAATGATCACTGTAAGAGCCCCAGTAGCTGAATTTCAAACACCTGTGCAGTGTGAAACTGAGAACCCCACTGGCTTATGAATGCCCTTGTTTTTACAGCTGTGTATTGCAGGAGAAATACCATATCCCTCCCTTGACTGTCCCACCTGTCCCAGTTTCTTGCTAGATGAATCCTTTTCAGTGCAGCAGGTCCTGTCATACTAGGCAGGCTTCTTTCAAGCAGAGATTCTGCTACTGCCAGGTGAAATGGTACCAAGACTGGATCAGAACTGTAAGCTGGGGAGCATACAGCTCAGCCTCTGTTCTGAATTCTAGAGTATGTACTCTATTTGAGAGGACAAAACTTGTGTTTGTGCTGTAATATGGTAACAAACACTGCAGTTCTTGTTTTTGTTATGGTAACAAGCACTAGCAACATAGTCCTAGATTAGAAATGTGCACAAGAATATGGGAAAACTAAAAGCAGGAAAACAAACATGGAAAACTCTTAAATCCCTCTTTACCTATCTCTAGGATCTTAAATTCTTAAAATACAAGACTGTTACGGTAGAGGGCTGAAGGAGACTGTCCATACTCAATTTTTCTTCTTTTTATAGTCTGGACTGCGTTTTCATGAGTTACAGGAAGAAATTCCAGTCCACCGAAGGTGCCTGTCTTCAGCCTCTCTGATTCAAACCTGCTGTGTTTTCAGCCCATCTACTGCTGTTTAAAGCAAACCTATTCTGATTATTGAAATGCTAACTTTACCTGGTTGCCTTAAGACACTCCTAATACAAATACTAACAAGCACAGCCCGCCACGCGCACAGTGCCTTGGGAAACGGGGAGCACGGAGCAGGTGAGGAGGATGCGGTGCTTCTCACAGCTTCCCCGGCCGATGCTGGGAGCGGTTCCAGGCTCCCTGGCCGGGGCCGGCTTTTCTCCTCGATCCTCCTCTCCTGCCTGCCCCCGCGCGGTGCCATCTCAGAGGGGCTCGCCCCTGCCCTATCCGAAGTGCCTCCGGCCCCCGCTCTCGCCCGGAACCGCCCCGGGGGTGGTGGTGGCGGCGGCGGCGCCGCACGTGGCCGCGGGGCTGGCGCGCGCACGGGGGCCGCGTGCGGCGGCACGTGAGGGGCGGGGCTCCGCCCCCGCCGCGCGCCGGCCCCGCCAATAAAGTGGCTCTGGACCCGCTCCCGCCTCCTGTCTCTGTTGGGGGGGGGGGAGCGGGGCGGGGCGCGGTGCACGTGGCCGCGGTGTGTGGGAGCGGCGGGGCCGCGTGCGGCGCGCGTTACGTAAGCGCGCGAATCGCGGTGGCGGGCGCGGGAAAAGGCGGAGCGGAGGCGGCGCGGGGCGCGCTCCCAGGCGCCGGCTGACCTCGGGGGGTGGGGGCGCTGCGGGAGGGGGAGAGAGGGCTTCGTGCCCGGTGTTTTTGGGGTGAGGGGTTCGCGGGACCTTCTGCCCCGTAGGGAAGGGGTGTGAGGTTGCTGGCGAGCCGGGCTGTGCCGTTCCATGTCCCGGTGCCGGAGCGCTTCGCTGCTCCGGGATGGACGGGAGCGAGCCCCGGGGCAGCCGCTCGCCGGGCGCTGGGAGCGGGCAGGAGGCGGCGAGCGAAGCACCTGGTTCGGGGAAGCCGAGGGGAGAGCACCGGGAAGCTGCGGGGTGCCGCTGCGCTGCACGCGTGGGAGCCAGCTCCGGTAGCAAGCGGAGCGACGGACCCAAATCCAGAAGGGATCGCTGCTGCTGCGAGTCAAGCGGCAGTTCGGCGCGGAGTTTGAGGAGGCAGAGCAAAGTTAACAACAGGTAACTCTTGGCAGCGTGTGCTGACCGTCCTGCTGCTTGAATTAACGTCCTCAAGCAGAGAGCTAATGTTAACCGAGGGTTTGATGTATTCGTGGTTCAGAGCTCTTCCCAGGGCTGAATTATTTCAGTCCTCCAAGGAAGCCTTCGTGCATTGCAAACCCTGATGTTTGTAATAGACTCAGGTGTGGGTTAGGTTGCTGTTGCATGATTCCTCCTAAGCTGTTTGTTAGATGCACAGATTGGCAGATCTGGATGTATCCACAAACCTTTTGTGGCTTCTAAAGATTGCATTTAGCAGTAGTAAAGCAGAATTAAGTAATGCTTTTTGAGAATGCTCAGAAGTTCAATGAGGCACTTCTGTTGTGGGTTTTGGTTTTTTTTGTTGTTTTTTAAGCAATGTGAGAGTCATAATTCATGCAATGTTGAATTTGCATGTAAAATTACTACGTAGTAGTTAAGCTTCTTTAGTGATTTACGTAGTGACAATATGTTTCTAATAAAATGCCAAAAGGACGATAGTTAGTTAAAATAACTGTTCATATCTCACCTGTAAGTTTAGAATCCCTCTACATTTTGAGGGTATTCACTGCTTCTGTTTCAGCCAGTGAAATAAGCAAAAGTAAGAAGTGCGAGATTTTGCTTGTTAATAACCTTGCAGCTGCGGGGTTCTACTGCTCTGTTGTAAGTGTAATGAAGGCTCATAAATCATGTGAAGAGTGAAATTTTTGCATCAGGTGTATTTTGAGGACCTCATGGTCCTGTGAATTGTTTTTAATCAGATGCAGACTTCAAAACTAGAAAGACTTACTTACATAAACAGTAAGCATTTATTAACGATTTTAATACCAGCAAGATTTAGACAAATCTGTAGTAAATATCAGCTTATTTCTAATTGATAAATATCTTAGCTAGAAGTTTGGTTGCAATGCCTTTGCTATCTGTAACATGCTGGAATTGAAAAGGAGGAAGGTTAGAGGAGAAAGGGTTAGGTAGCAAAGAAGTCAGCAAGATACAACAGCAAATACAGTGAATGGACATTAGGTCTTCTCCTGACATTTTGTGAATCTGAAGCTAAGCCCATATAGCGGTAATTTAGTGAATAATTTTGTGAGAGGGAAAAAAAGCTTTTATACCAGAAATCCCCAGCCCAGTCTAACCTTGGTTTTACAGTGATCAGCTGGATTGGAGCCAGTCTCACGAAGACCTGATGACGATGATCCAGGAAATGAAAAAGTGTTTGCCTGAAGATAAAAGGAGTTCCAGCAAGCCCAGTACCATCAGTGCTCTCAATTATGCTTTGCAGTGTGTCCAACAAGTCCAAGGTGAGTGTAGAAAAAAATGGAAGTGCAGAAGCCATAAAGCAGCTTGTTTTGTATAGATACATCTGGCAACAGATAACATTAAAAAAAAAAAAAAGTATTTTACTTAACCTGCAAAGAATTAACTTTTTGAACCATTGATTTTTAATCATGATGTTATCTTTTCTATTTAAGTGCCCACTTACTGCTTCTCTTTTATTCAGGGTGCAGCCGCAAATAGGTGTGTACTAATAACTTGCCATGTGTGTTGAAAAAACAGCGTTCTTGTCCCACCTCAAAACCTTACTGGATAGTCTGTTTTCCAACAAAATTAAGTAGCTAAATTTATTCTTTTGCCATCACATTCTGTCTCTTCTGCTTTCTTGTGCTTCTTTTCTATAACATAAATAGGTCACTCCAATAGTATAATCACTATGCCTTTTTCCTTTGTCATTGAACAGACCTTCCTCATCTCAGCTTGGGCTTCACCTAAAAAGATGACAAAAATATGAGTGCTGTAAGAAATACTTTCAAATTGTCCCCTTACTGACATCCTTGTGTTTGTTTTGCTTTTCCTATTTTTTTTCAAATAGCAAACAAAGAGTTTTTCCAGGCCTTGAATGATCGAAGAGTGTTTCAGACGGATGTGACGACATACAGCATAGAAGAGTTGGTGACAGTTGCATCAGAACACACTCCAAAAAACAGTGTAAGGAATTCAGTAACACTCAAGAGTTCATCACTTGCTATTTCACTTTCCATTTTGTCTCCATGTACGTTTTTCAAATAGAATGTGTAAAAACAAGAAGCACTTAAGTTTTATTCAAACAGATCTTTGTGTTAGTAATGGTAGGTCAGTGCTATTGCTTATCAAAGCTGATTCAGCATACCCAACAGAAGCAAGTGGAAAAGTACCTATATTTTCTTTTTTCTTTTTTCCTAGACACAACCATGATCTCGTTTAACAACGTTTGTTTTCCAGGATACCTTTGTGGCTGTGTTTTCCCTGCTTTCTGGGCGCATAGTGCATATTTCCAAGCAGGCAGCATCTATTCTAAACTGTAAGAAGAAAGTGTTGGACTCTTCCCGGTTTGTGGAGCTGCTTGCCCCTGAGGATGTGAGTGTGTTCTACACACATACTGATCAGTCCCACCTGCCGCTTTGGAATGTGGAAAATCAAACGGGTATGACTTGATGCTTTATCTGTCTTTCTGTCTTCACAGAATTTGGATAGAATAGTTGTTTGCTTTAAATGCTTATGCTACCAATACATATAGGCAAGTCCAGAGTTGCCACTACAGAAGAATGTGAGACATCAGAGGGTCCCTTCGTGCTAACATGCTAGGGATTCCTGAACTTTGCAAGCCAGTCATATTCGTGTCCATCAGAGCAGTGGCACCTCGGTGGAGCTATTGCCATTTTCTTGCTGTGAATTATTGCTGAATTTCCCTCTCCCCGTACATCTTGGTTGTATATGGTTTTTAGTACGTGGTTCCCAAATTTTAGTCTTTGCTTTCCATGGTAATGAACCAGAAAAAGCTTTTTAGATCATGTATATTTCCTCTGAATTTAGCTCCAGGTCAGCAGTTTCTCCAAGTGAGTGGGCTGGACAAGAGAGAAAAATATATAAAGTAGCAAAAGACAGTTGAACAGCTAAATCAATAGCTATTATAGAGAAGGTTGTGAGACTTTAGTCTTGCTCCTAAAGCCTGGAGAATGCAGAGTTCAAAATAGTTCTGGTAGGTGTGACCTTTTTAGGATATGAACTGATACCTTCAATGTATTTTCTTCTTCTTAGACTCTCTGTTTGAATATGCCCAGGTGAAATCCTTTTTCTGCAGGCTCAGGCAAGTACACTGTTATAGTTTTATGTTTATGAGGGCTGGGCCAAGGGAACAATATTGGACACAGCAATTTTCTTGTTATGACTGACCATTGTGAGCTTGTGGAACTCTGTACAAAAATGACTTACAGTGTTTAATATCAATACCCAACAGGATGTTTTGAATATGTTTTTCATAGTGATGGTTAGGAGAAGATGTAATACTTATTCTGTCTTCCAGTAGATCACTGATACATTCACGTTTCAAAAACCTGAGCTCTAAAATCACCCTTCAAGTCTCTCGAGTTCAGCAGGGCAGATCTCAATTTTACTTTGGGGAACTGTTTGTAGGATGCATAAACATTTTGCAATACTTTTTTTTTTTCATGTTTTCATATAACATTTCCTTCTTTTACGTAACAGAACCTTTCACCTGTGTGGGGTTCCTGAGTAAAAATGATTGGTTCTCAGGTGGGAATTGGAAGGTGGCCTTTTAACTATTAGGGTGATGGCATTCAGGAACGGTCTTTCAGTGCGTGTACTGGAGGCAGTGTACATACTGGATTTGAGGGGAGCAACTGTACTGCTGAATTGCTGGCCTGTGATTGCATGGGACCTCAGGAGATTCTTCTTGATGATATGGTCCTGTGTGCTCTGCATAATATCCTTGTGCAGGGTTTTCAGCATTGGCATAAAGCGTTCTGAGCCTTGATAATCAATGTGTAAATCCCTTTTACTTTTTCTCAGGGGTGGTAAAGATCAAGAACAAGAAAAGCATTGTTACCCATTCCGAATCACCCCGTACTTGGTCCACGTGTGTACTTCTGTCCACATAGATGCAGAATCCTGCTGCTTAGCTTTGGCTGAGAAAATTCATTCTGGATATGAAGGCAAGTCAGGAGAGTTTTGTGGAAAACAAGCCAATAGGAAAATACAGTACATGAAAGTCAGCTTCATTTGATTAGAATTTGTTCTTGGGTAGTCTGGCCATTTTAACTTTGAGCATATAAGTGTGTGCACATATGCATGTGTATCCAAAACATATGCACCTTTGATAGGCCCTGAAACATTTGACCTCTTCTCACTACATTTATATTTTGGAGAAGTCTGTATCACCTAAAAGTTTGTTACATCTCTTTGAGTTACTGATCAGAAAGCCGTGAACAGTTAAAAAGTTCAGGAGCCTGTAACGCTCTGTCATGAGCAAAAGTTAGATTTTCTGTCTTAATGCATATTTTCTGTTTCAGTAAATACTTCTTTTTCAATTAGCTCCTCGAATTCCTATGGAGAAAAGAATCTTCACCACCACTCACACTCCAGGATGTGTTTTTCTTGAGATAGATGATAGGTGAGATTTGAATCTTAAGAATGGTGAGGTACGTATGGAGAGGTAGCAAAAAGTCCTCTCGGAATGCAGCTGGAAACCCAGGTAAATTATTTGAACTGTGAAGTTGGCAGTAGTTAATGAAACAAATTAGTTTTGTGTTAATTTTCAGTAATTATTTGTGTTAGTTTTCTCATTGAAAAACATCTAAAACTCCAAGAACATAATCTCCTTTAACTAAAAATCTAAAATAGAACAGAACTGCAGTTAGTTTTCAGGGACCTGTGGTAATGCAAGTAGTGGAAAACCCACCTCATGCAAAGCTCTGAAAAATTACAATGCAAAGATGCAGTTGCACTGAGTTGGCTTAAATGGATTTGGCCAGACAAAAGTTGTGTCCTGCAAACACCTGAGTGTTCTTACAACCCACTTCACAGCATCCCTGTCAGATTTCTTGCTAGCATTTTGCCTGTTACCTCTTTCTTCACGATCACCCTCCCACCCCTTTTTTTTTCCTCCATATATGGAAGCACAAAACTGTTTGTGACTTAAATCTCCAGGAACAAAAATGTTTGTCATTGGTATTTACGTGTTTACATTGCACTGGAAGATTATCAGATGGTTTGGAAAATGTTCTGTAGCTTTAGTTCAAGCTGTTGCGGATCATGCACGGGGGCTTTACTCACAAGCAGCGGTTTAGGGATGTAAATAGTCAAGACTAAATTGTAATCAATGATAACATGTTTCATTTCAGAGCAGTGCCTTTGTTGGGTTACTTACCTCAAGATTTAATTGGAACATCCATGCTGATGTATTTGCATCCAGAAGATCGTCCTTTGATGATCGCTGTTCACCGTAAAAGTAAGTACGGTTGGCTTAAAAGGTATTTTTGTTCTTTTTGACATTCTTTCATTCATGTATTTTTTATTGTGTGACAAAAATAAAGAAATTAAAGCAACCAATTTGATGTCAAAGCAAATTCAAAACTAGACTTCCAGACTTCTCCAGTCCTGCATGTTTGTGCTTTCATTGCTGTGTCACAATGTAAACTAAACCTTGTTTCTTGGTTGTTTTTGCTCAGTCTTGAAGTTTGCTGGCCAGTCCCCTTTCGAACACTTACCCATTAGATTTTGTACTCAAAATGGGGATTATGTCATACTGGATACCAGCTGGTCCAGTTTTGTGAATCCATGGAGCAGAAAAGTGGTGTTCATCATTGGCCGACACAAAGTCCGAACGTAAGTCAGTTGTAGAACTGAACTGAACTAGAGCTGATGTTGCTGATGTTTGGGGATGGCCTTCTGACTTCTCAGTGATCTTTTCTTCAAGGCTTTCTAGAATGTGAATTTGTTTTATGAGTGACGGAGGCAGAGGGGTAGATGCTTGTCAACCTTAACTCATGTTATTGTGCTGGTGTTCTGTCTTCTCCAAATCCTGGGGCTTTATGTGAAGCACTGCTTTCATATCACAGCCTTACTACCCTGGCTTAGCTGTTGGTGGAACAGATGACATCCTTTTGTGTTGGTTCAGGGAAAAAGTCAAAATGAAATACAGATACTTTAAAAAATATATATATATTTTCTAACTCTGCTTACAGCTACCTTTTCTTCATCAAATTAGAATTAATAGTGAAATTTTGTTGGCTCTCTAGAAGCCCTCTGAATGAAGATGTCTTTGCTGCAAGAAATAAAGAAGCAAGCAGTGTTGAGAAAGAGATAAGAGAATTGCAAGGACAGATTTACAAGCTGCTTCTGCAGGTAAAGATGATGAAAATTTCAAAACACTGGTTGGCCTTTTGAATGAGAGAGGCTAAAGAAATTGAAGTTTGTTTAGCAAATTTCTTTGGGGGTGATCTTGTAAAGCATCTGAAAGGAAAGTTGTAATTGGAGACAGGCTTGTGTGCCAGGTTTAAAAATCTAGCTCTGGGTGGCCCACCTGATTAGAAAAATATTTTGACCTGTTTGCCAAGTCTTTGTGTTGAAAGATAAATCTGCATCCTGAAACAGCTTTGAGGATGGTAGAGAAATTTTTCCCAAGCAAGTGGTGGAACCCAAAACAACACTGACTTCTCATTTATTCTTGTTGTTGTTTACTTTGAGTTACGTGTTGCAAATTATGTTGTTCCCTTCTCTTTAATCTCTAAGAGAATGATTCTTTTTTTCCCCTCTCCACTAATACAGCCAGTTCATAGCAGCATTTCCAGTGGTTATGATAGCCTTGGTAGCAGTGGCTCTTATGAACACTATATCAGCATATCGTCTTCGAGTGACTCCAATGGGAACTGTGCAGACGAAACACAAGAACCAGTAAGTATTTAAATGTGTCAATGCCTGCCTGGTAGAAAATGCTTATTGTATACATATGCACTATACATCATGAATTTTACTGAAGTGGAAACATACAGCTGTGTTCAAGCTACATGTACTTAAATTGGTCAATTATAGACCGCTGGTTTTTGTTCTTAATTTTGCTGATTAAAAAGAGCAGATAGCTGCTACAGTAGTTGACTATAGTAAATTGAAGGCTTGCTTAAAGATCAGCCTTCTCAAAGAACCAGTGGACTCCATCTTAGTGGTCTCCTATAGCCTCTTTTTATTCATTTTATTCTGACTTCACATTTTTTACTTATCTCAAGATAACTTTGCAACAAGTATGTGCAGATGTCAACCGAATAAAAAATCTTGGGCAGCAGCTGTATATTGCATCATGGAGCAAGCCACAGAATGGAAATGAACAGGCTATGAGTTCAGAAATGCTAGGAGGTGAGTTAATGTAATTATGATCTCTAAGTTAACATAAACTCCTGTAGACCTGGAGCCATGACGTTGGCTGTCTGGTGTTACACTGAAGCACTTAAGTTAGCATCTTAACATGGCTTAGATCTGGAAAGTAGTCATTTCTCTGTGTGTGTGGTTGTATGTTTTGTTTGTTTTTGTTAACTCAGCAGATAGAATGACTGCTCCCTGGGATGTGGAAGAATGTACTTGTCTCTCCAAGTTAATACTTTTTTATTTTAACGCTTTCTAGTGAAAATGTACACTTGTTTGTTGCAAATATAAGTCTAATGTGGAAGCTTCCCTTAGTTACTGATTGTGGACTCTCAAACAAGCCACAGACCAGAGGCTGGAAAATGCTCTGCTCCACTTCCCTTTGAGATAACAGTTTGCTCATTGTGTGCTCAATATTGCACTATTGCAGGTTATTTCCAGTTAACGCCTAGCACAAATACATGGAGAAGAATGGGTGCTTCACCAAAGATGATAGGAATCTGTATGAAAACATTTTGGATTGTGATATTTTTTTATGAGTTACATTTATATACTATTCTGACCAGTGTATCTAAGTTACAAAAAACTAGAAATTACTGTTAAATAACAGATCAGATCCTGTGATGTGTCAATTCAGAGAAGAATATTAATTGAAGTTTTGTTTACAATTGACAGCCTTTGAAATATTATTGACTTATAAATCTAATAAGATGTGATGCATGCATCTTTTAGCTCTTTTGTATTTTTTAGTTTTATTCAGTTCCAATCAGTTTCTTAAATACTATTTTCTTTCTATGCGCTTGTCTTTGTGATCACTAGATTATTCTTAGTGGATGTTTAAGGTTTTGGGGGGCTTCCCTTTTTTCTTTCTTCATCCTCCCCTGCTTCAAAATGTAAGAATTGAGGTGAAAATGCAGAATAACTTGGTAATGAGAGCTGTGCTGTGATAGACTGTATATTCCCGTGTGTGTGTCATTGGAAGTAGTGGTTAGATACCTTTGAGAGTAGTCTTTGAGAATTTCTTCTTTTCTAGGGAGGAGACACAGTGCTTCCTGTTTTCTCCAGAGAGTGAGAAGTGATAGCACAGAAGAACCAGGCAATATACTTTATGATGATTCAAAGAGGACTCCACTTGTTCCTTCCTATCAGCAGATTAATTGTGTTGATAGTATCATCAGGTAATAAACAACGAAGCAATTACAGCGATCCAGGTTTAAGATTAATTCATGGAAGTTAACAATGGGAGCAGTTTGCATTGGTGTAGACTGTCAGGGTTTTGACTTAAAATTCCATTTTGGAATGTTTCTGCATTAAATATGTTAATGGTATCCTTATCACATTTCTCAAGAAAAATGGAATGTGTCTGAAAAACTCCTATGGTAATTAAAATTTTAATTTTATTCTTCAGTCAACTATTGTATATACATATATATGAACTATATTACCAACTATTAGACATTTTAATGATTGAAACATCCTTGATAATATAATGCTTGACTGAAAGTATTTATTTTCTGCAGTCGCATAAAGGGAAACATGAGTGAAAAAATCAAGTCAGTGTGCACGTTTTTTCACTTGCTTTATCAAGAACACGAATTTTTGATCACTGCAGTAAAGCGCATACGCTCATGGTTACCTCAGTTTTGTGCTTAGCTTTAATGCTTTTCCACGAAAGCAAAGGAGCACCGCAGTTTTGCTTATGAACAAGTGTCATTGCTTCTATTAAATCTGAGAGATGTACGTTTTTGACCTTTAGAGGTTGATGTTCACTTTTTGTTTTCAAAAGATGAATATATCAATAATTGTGCTTAAGCAGGAATATTCAAAAAAAAAAAAAAAAAAAAAAGCATGTTTGAGGAAAAATTTCAATTGTTTCCAACTAACAGATAAGGTAAGTCTCCAAAGAGAAACAGAAAATTAATTTTTATTTAAAATACTCTTTGGAAGGCAAGTGTATGTTCAGAGCTTCCTGCAGTGAATTTCAAATGCTAGTTAACAGTACCTGCACCTGTAGTTTGAATTGTTCAATTGTTTCTCTCAGCAAACTGGATAAAAAAAATTGAGTGGGGAGAGTTTCCTGTAATACACTTGTATTTCAGATATCTAGAGAGCTGCAGTATTCCGGTATTGAAAAGGAAATGTAAATCTTCTACAAATACATCATCATCATCTTCAGATGACGACAAGAAAACCCAGCAAACTCAGCAGGAATTCAAGGCATTGGAAGGTAATGCAAGGGATACTGACAATCATCATGGAAATGCAATGATCTATTTTTGATATGCTGCTCTTGTATGTTTCAAGGTTTCTTTCTGTTTTTTTAATTGTTGTCACACAAACGGCACAAATATTTTGGTTACAGGTAGTAAATAATTTGTTTCATTTGTCCAAATCATACAATTAAGAGTAAGCAACAGTAATAAGTCTTTGAATTTAGAATGCATCATAAGAAGTACTGTTCGCTGTTGCTAAATAAACCTTCTCTTGCTCTTTATTTTTATTCCATATTTATGTATTAAACATTTAACATTTATGGTACATTTATGTATTGAACATATGTTTAACAAAGTGCGTGTTCGCACTTGTGTATGAATGTTATATTTATTTATATATAAGACTGTCTTGTTTAACAATGTGCATAGCGAGTGGTTCCTTCTGATCCAATCATATTTGATGATTTCAGAGCAATTGTAGTGCTTGGACAGAAATTCCGGGTAGAAATGTTGTCATTTACCAGTAGATACTGCTGTCTTTTCATCAGTTAATTCCCAAACTCCAGTATCTGCTGATGGGGAAGAGATGCTGAAAAAGCAGACAACTGCAGGTGTCGTGGGAGCTCCTCTGGCAGACCTGACCCTGTCCAAGTCTCCAAGTGTGGTATCTGCCACTAGCCAGTGCAGTTACAGCAGCACTATAGTGCACGTCCCACACCCTCAATCAGGTACTATTCGCTCTTGGAAAGCATTGACTTGACTCTAATTATTTTTTTTTTTAATTTAACAATGTCTTCAGACTGAAGTATGCAGTGGGAAATCTTTGTTCAAGTCAAGTACGTTCTCATGAATGTATGATCTCTGAAATACAATGAAAGTACTTTTAGGGACACTGTGAAGAAAACTTGAGCCTGGAAATGTTTACGATGTTTTTATAAAACCTTTTAATACAATACAATTTGATATAAACTTTCAAAAAGTTTGCACTGTTTCCTTTCCCCTTTAGCTTCATTGCGCACAGCAATATGCTGTTGTTCAGCAACTGTGAATGAAAGCAAAAATGACTAATGGGCCAATATTACTTAATCTTAATTCAGAAAGAAACATAAAAATGAGAACAATTGCAGTTAAATACTAAGAAAGTATGAAGAAAGAAACGCCTCTGTAACTTCAAAGTAATTTAAAATAATTTGCTCAGTTCGTGTTAGTATAATTGTGTGTATAATTGAGTGTAAAGGGTCCCATGTTCCATCCCGCACCTCTGCAGTCTCTATTTGCTTGGTAGCTCAGACATGTTTATTTTTTGTGTAATGCTCTGGGGTATCGTGGGAGACCAGAAGGTCAGAGCAAAGAATGAATGATTTATTTTCTTCCTTCTTCAAAGAAGTGACTACAATGGAGGATGCTGCTGTTGGAAATGAACAAATGGAACTGCCTCCTGTGAATGAGCTCATTATGGTGCCTGAGGAGTTAAAGCCTGTTGGGCTAACAAAAGAGACCTTGTCAGCCCACACTCAAAAGGAGGAGCAGAACTACGTGGACAAGTTCCACCAGAGGATCTTGCTCTCTCCATTTAGGACTTACCTTCAACAGGGTAGCAGAAGTAACAATGGACATTCCTGTGGTCAAGGTAGGCAGCACCTTTAAGAAATAAAGATGTACTAGACTTACTTTAAAGACCAGCTTAGCAATGGGCTCGTGTTCTCCTTTGTGTGATTTAGTGAGAACCTTACTACAGTTGCAAACAGAATACTTTGTTCGAATTGCCAAGACCTGACAATGGCATTGCCCATACAGAAGTTCTGCTCCATCTTGAATGTTGCTTTCTTAAACTTTTCACAAAGCACCTAAGTACTGCAATAAATACTGCAAATCCCAAGTAGTTTATTGCCTTCTGCTGAAGAACTGTAGAGGATCTGATTGGATTAATATAAGAAAATTGATTATATGAAGGCAAATATTGTTGATATTTGGTATGAACAAGTCCACCACTGTAGTACATGGAAGAATTATCCAGAAGAAAATCATCTCTTTGAATAAGCCACACTTTAGTTATCTGGATGTTTCTCCGTACTTTTCTTTTCATTGTCTATTTTTCTTCCTCCTTAGGAGATTCCCCTTCATTGGAGAGGAGTACAGCTAGCTGCAAAAAAGGCAAACATGGAAAATTCAAGTGCCAGAAACCTCAGAGACAGTCCTTAGATAGCCACTCTCATAGTAAAAATAGAAATACATGTAGTCTTCCACGTGAGAAGAGAACAATTCAGAAACAGTCATTTTTTCCCTCAGAAGTATCCTGTCAGAGCTCCTCCACTATGAATGTATTTCCTCCTGTGGGATTTCCTGTCTATTCAGATCCACGATCTAGTTTTCCAGCCTCTCTTGTAGGAGAGGAGCTTGCCCTTCACTCATTAAAACCTGAGCCAACGTCATTGTCACAGCTAAGCTGTGAAGCACCATCGTTCCCAGCACTTTATCCCCCAAACTTAGGCACGTTTATGGCTGTATTTTTTCATAGTTACCCCATGTATTCTCAGCTGCCTCAATATGCCTTTCTTCCTAGCCCTCAGTACATTTATCCCCCTTCTTCATATCCATGCGCAACACTACCTCTAGCTCCCCCTCCTGCTCCATCAGCAGTAGCCCCAAACTCTGTGAATCAGCCCTTTCCAGCCTCTTCTGCCACATCGACTGAGGAACAGCAAGAGGGCCGGCATCACTGGGCCCTACAGCTGAGTAGCTCACGAGGCAGCTCCCCACTTCAACTGGATTTGCTTCAAGAAGAGCTGCCAAAACCTGTGGAGCCTTCCATCAATACTGATGTTAAAGCACAAGCAGAAGCTAAATGTGTAAGTAACATGGATCTCTAGTGTTGAAGAGAAACTCGGACTTTCATGGTGTTCAGTCACCAAAACCAGTGATGATCTATGTTTCAGGGTCAACAGATTACCTTTTTTTGGCCACTGTTGTGGTCTGTAGACTGCAGAACATAAATAGCATAGGAGGTGGAGAAAGCTTTTTATATTTGAGCTCCTAGGAATTTGTAACACTACAGTCCAGGCACTAAGAAAATGACATAAATGTGAGATGTGGTGTAGACTCCCACAAACTGCTCTTGCTCGGTACTTTGGCAGCATTTTTCTTTATTAAATTGTTGTCAGGAAGTTGGGGCGGGTATTTATGCATGTGGAACTTGGTTAGGACTACACCATTCACGTCTTTTTTTCACCCAGTCTCACAGTCTCTGTGGAGAACCAAAACAAAGGGAAGATACTTTTCTAATTACTCTGTCTCCCAGGGATGCAGCTAATGAAAGAACAGGGATCCCGTGTGGGTTGGTTTCCATGCATGGGTATAGAAAAGGCCTCTCCAACTTCCCCTGTAAACTCAGAGGCAGGAAGCCGAGCTCTGCAGGCAAGGAAAAAAACGTTGGCTCCTGAACCCAGATTGGGCTGAAAAGGCTGGATCAGCTGAAACTGCAGGGTAGGGTCCTGGAGTTGGTGTACCTGTAGCTGCTGAAGCAGCAAGCTTAATGTAGTAAATACGGGAAGACCCTTTCATTTTCCTTGTAGTGCACTGTTGCTTTGTGTGCGTGGCTGCTTCACGCCATCTAACTGAATGTGAAAGGGACTGACGCTATTGTCAGCAAAAGATCTTGAGTTAATATGAAAGTACAGTGTCTTGACAGAAAACCAGTAGGGAAGGATTTACAGCAGACACCAGTAAAATAGAGAGTCCAGACCTATGTTGTTTTCACCCACTAAGAGTGTTACCCTGAGATCCAGATATCCAGTCATTTTCAGAGCTAGAAACTCTAGCTATGGAGCTGACCTGAGAACTTAGTAAACATGTTACAAATTCAGTGGATGCATGACCTTCCTTTCTCAAGATAAAGGGTGATTTCCATGGCTGTGTTCTGTTTTTTTGTTTCCAGGACAATGCTCCAGAAGGTGGTGGTAACAGTGCTAGCAGCCATTGTGCTTCTAGTGAATTTACTGACCACCAACTACATCAGGACTCCCAGTCGGGCACAGGTTGAGCACTATCAGGCAGTGGATCAGCTTTATTTAGTTCTTTAGTTCTGCTGGCTCGGGAGGGGCGCCCTAACGCTACATTTTTGGCATGCCCTGGGAACCAACATGGAGGACCGGCCAAAGACTACAGCTCCCGGCATGCTGCGGGGTACAGATCTTTGCCTCCGCTACGGCGCATGCTCCAACCCGGTCCTGCTGCGGTACCTGTTTTCCTACGCTAGGTGGGAGCAGAGCGATGTGCCGCTACTGCGCATGCGCCCCGCCCTTCTGCCTGCAGTACTGCCCTGTTCCCAGCAGGCGGCAGCAGAGAGCGGGCCGCGTCTGCGGCTCCTGCCCGCCTGCAGTGGCGCTGCTTGGCCAGCAGGGGGCGCGCGGCACGGCCACAGCCGCGGCCCCTCAGCGAGCTCGCACCCAGGGCCGGGCCGCCCTGGCCGTGAAGGAAGCGGAAACCCCCAGCAGGAGGCCTGGGGCGGAGCCGCTCCGTGCACCGCGATCGCGGACGGGGCCCGGCCGGCGCCATGGTGCAGCTCGGTGAGTGCCCGCCGGCTGCTGCCCGCTGGGTGCCTCCCGTCCCGTAACACCCCCCCCACCGTGCTCTCTCCACAGGCAGCCGGCTCCTGAAGGGCTACCGGGGCGGCCACGTCGTGATCCGTTTGGCCCTCGGCGGCTGCACCAACCGCCCCTTCTACCGCATCGTGGCGGCGCACAGCCGGCGAGCCCGGGACGGCAAATACCTGGAGCAGCTGGGCTGCCTCGACCCCCTGCCCAACGCCCGGGGCGAGAAGGTGGCGGGGCTCAACCTGGAGAGGCTGCGGCACTGGCTGGGCTGCGGGGCGCAGCTCTCCCGGCCGGCCGAGAAGCTCCTGGGTATGCAACGGGGCGGGGAGCGGGGCTGGGAGCCCCGGGGGGAGGCTCGGCGAGGCTCAGCTCCGCTTTTCTTGCAGGGCTGGCGGGGTTCCTGCCGCTGCACCCCATGACGGTGACGGGCGCCGAGAGGTTGCGGAGGCGGCAGAGAGCGCAGGAGGCCGCCGTGCCCACCCCTGTGGTGGGCGGCTCGCAGGAGCACGGAGAGACGGCCTGAGGGGGGCCCCGACCCCCAGGTGTGTCACCGAGGGGGTCCCGGGGCTGTGGGGGTCGGGCCCGGGGTGCGGTGCATGCCCTCCCCCCCATGCACACACCCTGGCATGTCTGACTGCATTAAAGTGGCATCCGTGCATGTGCTGTGCTCTCCGGACTCGTGACTGTTCCTGTCACCATTACAAAAAGCCATTTCTAGTTGCTGCACCTCAACTATAAAGTAAGCAATGCTGCCTTTTTTCTCTCGCTCTTTTTTTTTTTTCCCTTCTCCACGGATTTGGTGCAACTTCGAAGGAACTCTGCAGAATGGTGCCATACTTTTTTTCCCTGGACACCACCAGTACCACTAAAAACCCCAAATTAACATACATTGATGCTGAATTTTCAATATAATAGGAAATGTAATATATACTCCATTATGCAATGCGTTTGGGTATAGTGATAGTTCTATATTTATGTGTAGTTCATACTCTTACTTACAGAGGGAAGACATTACCATCAAACAGAACCATAGAATATCCCAAGTTGGGATGGACTCACAAAGATCGAGTCCAACTCCTGGCACCTCGCAGGACTGCCCAAAAAAAAAAAAATCAAGCCGCGTTTATGAGTTCATGGTCTAAATGCTTCTTGAACTCCAGCAGGCATAGTGACAGTGTCCAACCACCCTCTCAGTGGAGAATCTTTTCTTAGTAGGCATTGGCAAAATACACTAATATATACATAGACATATACATTGAGAAATACATTGTTTTAATCAATTCTGATTTTTTTTTTAAGATTGTTTGCAACACATAATGATCTGCAACTCCAGCTACCTAGAAAAGGAAAGTGCTCGTGATCCATTCAGTGCAACAATGCTGTCTACAAAACTTAAAAGGAGAAAGCATTTTGAGAACTAATTATCACATTGTGGAAACAAAACAATCATTTTTGAGTTTAAAAGTATGGTAAGATAAGGAGGAGAAAATAAGGTTACACAGCAGACTAAGAAAAGAAAAATTCCACAAAGCCAACTAGTCAGATTGTTAGAAATCACTCAGAAGTGCCAGATGTACTGCTCATACACCAGTTCCAGTTTTACCCCAAACATTCTTGGAGACAGATGCCACATTATAAAGGAAACATGTCACAGATATTCCTGCAGATGTGACACCAGGTATGGAAATGTAAGCCCAAACAAGGAAAATAAAGATGAACAGTCATCAACCCGATATTCATTTCTCTCTGAATGCTTGACTTCCTAACTTCTGTAGTGTTCCTCCATTTAAGTAAATACTGAATAGCATGAAACTTGTCTCTCACTTAAAAAAATAAAAAAATAGTAGGGCACTGATGATAAAAGTGAGAGGTTCTTAGGAGTTGTGCATTATGCTTTCAAGCACTAGAGTACAGTAAATCACAACAGCTAAATATTACAGAAGTTATTTCTTCTTGGCATCACACATGAAGCATTAAAAAAAAAAAAAAAAAAACATTGAGGTGAACGGTCCAGAACAACTCATTTAAAAAAGAGAGAGCCTTCAGAGAAACTGCTTCTTCTGGACTCAGCAGACAAGAACAAAAAGAGCCTCTATAAAGAGATGCCACGCATGGCACTCCTGATACTAGAATGCCGATCAGCCATGGTAAATCTTGGCTCACTACCTGAATATGAAGGCAGACTGATAGGAATCCTAGACATGGTTCTAACTTTTATTTGTTTTCATCTTTGCTCTTCACTTCAAGTACTCCTGAGCTTAACTGGAACTTGTATAAGATTTCAGGCATTTACTTCCAAAACAAGAATAGTTAAGAATTCGCACAGGTAATGAAACCCCACTAGTCCAACTCTACTAAGTCTTAGTAGTTTCAATGAGATATAAAAGATGTGGCTCTAGCTGACAAATCATTAATCCCTAAAATGTCACATGGTACAACTGTATGAAAAACAAGGATGATGTGCTACAGGCTTTCACACAAATGATTATTTTTTTAAATATTTTTCAATCCAATCTTGAGTGTAAGCTTCTACCCAGGAGACCTTGACGCAAGAAAAAAAACCTTCTGCCCAAAGGTGTTTTGCAGACAACTACCCATCTCCCTGCTAAGTCACTGCAAGCTGTTATAATCCCAGTTAAAAGTCTAGTGTAGGAAGAAATACGTACTCATCAGGAACCATCAGTGTGGACGAGAGTCAGAACCCAGAGAGCAGGGCTTGAGAGCCAGGCCCCTGCAGCTTCAGCCCCTAGCAACTTCTTGGAGCTGTTCTGCTGGCAGGAGCTCTGTACATGTAGGAGCCCAGAGACAGCCCTTAAAAAGAGTACTTACACTACCAAAGCAAGACCAGTCACTCTCAACCTTCCCAAAGTTTTGAAAAGTACCTTCCAAGGCCAGGCCTACCATGGGTAGAGACTGGGACCCATGGGTTGGCCCCACTACTCCTTGAGGCCCCGGCAGGAGTTTCCACAGCTCTCAGCAACCAAAGGCCAGGCCACTCTGCCTGGCAGCGAGGAGGAACCTTCTGCTCACAAATCTGGTAAAGCACTGAGGTCACAACACTCCCATGGCAGTGGAGCCCCATAGCTTGCTGACTCCCAAGAGATCAGGGTCCCCCTGCCTGGGCAATGGAATTCTGTGTTCCCTGCCTCAGGCCAGGTAACACTGTTGCCCCCAGGAATCATGCCCCTGCAGGGTGGCTGGAGGGGAAGGCCCTAGGCTGCCACCTAGGGTTCCTACCACGGTAGCCATAGACCCTGGGGACAAAGATGGGCCTCTGCCACCTCAGGGGAAGGTGGAGTGGTACCCTCTCACGGGCAGGGGAAAGCTCAGCAAAGCTGGTGCTTATCTTTCTGTGGTTTCCCATGCCCACTGCCAGCACAGTCACCCACGTCCCACCACCATCCACTACCATCCTGGGGATGCAAAGGCCCACCATACCATGATGGGGAAGGACAAGGATGATGCAATGAGGCAGCAAAGGCTGTGGCAGCTTCTCTCATTTATTGATCCTGTGCACATGGCAGGAGTGGGCGCTGCTCCTCGGTAGGTGGCAGCTCTTCAGCGGGTGGTATTGGCTCATAGGTGACGCAAAGGGAGGAGAAGAGGCAGCCCAGGAAGGACACCAGGCTGGCGAAGTACATGGCACCACTGGCACTGCCCACAGCTGCTGTTAGTGGCCCCATGGCCAGGGACACCAGGATCTGTGCCAAGAAGTACTGGCAGCTCAGCAGGGAGATGTCGACACCCATCCCACGCCGCATGCCCTCTGCCTTCAAGCCTGTGAACTACAGGGGACAAAGTGTGAAGGAAGTACCACCAGGAGCCCTGTCTCCCACGCTGCCCAGGGCTCACCTCACAGCTCTGATAGTAGTCGCAAAGCAGGGAGTAGGGCAACGTGCAGAGAGTGGCGAAGAGGACACCATAGGTAGCACACAGTGACAGCACCACATAGATGTTTCTGGACAGCGTGGACAGCCCTGTACCCAGCCCAAAGGCCAAGTATGCAATGAAGTACAGTGTCCGTGTGCTGAACCGCTCCTCTAGCTTTTCCAGTGCAGCTGCAAGACAACAGCACGGCATTTGCAATTAACAGTGACTGTCCCCTGCCATGCACTAGGCTTGAGGAGTATACCTCCAGGCTCCACAGCCTAGCTATCTGGTTGCCACAGCAGCAATCATTACAGCTTTGCTTAACTGGTGGCTCGCATGCAAGCACCAAGATCCCCTTCCAAATCCTCCCACTGCCACAACGCAGCTATGTGCAACATAAATGCCAGACTACTTGTTGCAGAAACACCACTTCAGGAGCAGGTGTATCTCTGACAGCAGTGGGTGGGATGGCTGTACACTTAGTACCTGAATAGAAAGCAGCACTGAATGCATAGATGCACATTCCCCAGCAGCCCATGGTGACCCCAGCGTTGTACTTCTGATACTCATCTGAGTTGTGAGGTGCTTTTGGATTCCCTTGAAACACTACTTCTCCCATGAAGTCAGTATAGAAGAGCAACATCCCTTCAAATGAAAGCCATCCTGAAAGAAGCCAGAAATAACCCATCAGGATTACAGATCATCCATTTTCTCTCGTAAAACATGAACACTATTAGCCACATTGCACAACCTGTCTTCAGTTGTGATTTGTAATATATTACATACATAATGTTTAGCCACATTTATGAGGGACTGCTGTTCCCTGTGCATTATGCTGTTTGTAAAAGTTGTTCATGATTTTAATGATGAAGATTTATCTTTTGAATTCACACGTGGAATCTGACAGCCTGATTACAGGTCACAGAATTTTGCAAGTTTAGCAAGAGAGCAAAATTGATTACAGCAGTCTGAACTGCCTTGCTGAATTTCACAGAGTAGTTCATCATATGTTAGTTTCAGGGTGCTGTTGTCCTCCTACACTTAGCTAAACTAGTCTTACAGGCACACCTGTAGTGTTGCATTCTGTGCCCCCTCACAGCCTGTTCTGTTGCCCCTATATATATGGTGTCAAAGGGAGGAAAGCAAATGCTGGTCTCATTTGTAAGCAGAGAAATACATCTAATCTTGTTGCATTCTGCTCAGTAACTGCAGTTTCAAAGCATTAGAAAGCACACTGATGCAGTTTCAAGTTCTTGGTTCAATGGTGTTTCTCATCCCAGTATAAACACTAAATTTAACAGACATGCTGATTTAAACCAATATTATTCTCTTTCTAGGCATGTAGGTTTCACAATTCTGGGTTTGTTGTTGTTTGATTTTTCTCAGCATTCTAAAAAACTAAATACCAGAAAGTATCTTATTGTTGAGTATATATGGAACACACGATGTCCTTTTTAGGTAGCAGCAAGTGCTACAAGAGATAAAATACTTTAAAAGATTCACACAAGGTAGATGACTTTGTGGGGAAAACAAGAAAGAACTTTTTCATTACCTAGGAAGTGGTTGATGCAGAGGTTACGAAGAGCCTTGGGCATGTGGCAGATGGTTGAACAAAGAAGTCTGATGGAGAGCGGTTGCTCAGAGGTCTCACTTGATCCATTCAGCTCACTCTCATATTTAACACCATCCAGCAGGATATTGGCAACCTTCACCATAAGAACTCCCAGGTCAATAAACAGGTTAAAAAAAATCTAAATGACCTTTGAGCAAATCTACACTATATCACATATCTATCTGATCATCTGAAAGTGAAACTCTGCTGCTCAGCTGTTGATTTGGAGATTAAGAACAGTGCTAAGGATGTCCTTAAGTTCAGCCTTAGAACAAGTGATAAATAGCTCTGTGTTGCAGCTGTTGGTGTACTTGAAACTGTTCTAGAGCATTTGGCAACCACAGTCAGATGCTAGCACACGGAAAGCATCAATTCTATTGCACTTAATACAAGCTGTACCTGCACTTGGGTGAATCAGGTCCCTGAATTTTTAGAGACAGTGATGAAAAAAAGAGCCTGTTTTTAACTGAAACACATTATCATTGCTCACTTGATGCTTCATATCTACTTGCACAGTATATAAAATCCTGACCCTAGCAAAGTCTGCTCTCACAAAGTGGGAGAAAGTACAGCAACAGAAAAAAAAAAAAAAAAGAAAAAAAACACATACACAGAGGACAGTTTACCTCATCTCGGATCATAAAAAAATGGGTCAGCATACAGAGGTCTCAGACATTCCAAGTTATCACCAACAGCGGGAGGTGAGGTCACAGTCTTATCCCTGGGTAAAGAAAACCTCACCTCCCTGATGAAACCAGATGCAATGACTGCCATAACGAGAAGCTCATGGGAGAATCCTATCCCTGGCCCTATCTTGCAGGTTTTTCTGTGGAAAGGGAAGATACAGGCTCAATAAAAATGTGTTCTTTTCTGCTCTCACGTGGTAGCTTCCTAGGTGGTGAACTAGGGCTAAAAGTACCAACCTAAATTTCATACGGGGCCTGAAGGGAGGGGAATGCTCCCATTTCTGCCCTCTTTACAAAAGCAGATGACAGACTGCCAATCATAATTCATGTCCTACCCATTATTTTTACAATAAAGTCATAGCGGATATTCTGTTCCTATGGTGACTTTTATAAGTAAACTGTTGTGAGCAGTCTTTAGTGATCCAATTGCACACTAAACATTTAAAATCACAGAGATTAAATTAATACTCAGGTTTACATCGTCATACAATTGATTTTCTGGCCTTACCTGTTGGCTGAAAGTTACATTTCTTCTTCTGCTATTTTCTGGACAACGTCCCGTTACAATATCTGGAATGGCCAAGGTCTGAGGTCTTTTCAGGATACCTGATGACCGTGGCTTTATTGCATCCAGGGAGCCCACTGTTAGTGCCTCACTGTTAGGCCCCAGAGTTATGTTGCTCTCCCCTTGCTCCAGAATTCCATTTTCTTCTTGGTAACAGCCACCTGGTACCTGAGGAAAGCTGACACTGACAGGATGTCTGGGCAAGCTAGCTGGAAGTGCTAAGTAACTATTGTGCCCACCTGTAAAACAGTCTATAAGTACATTGTCAATATTTGAAGTCCCAAATGACGATGAAAATTCATTAATTCCTGTCAAGGAACTGTCTCTGCTGATAAAACTGCCATATTTGGGTGTGAGTGGGCTGAGAGGGGAAACAGGACTTGTAAAACTTGCATATAATTGAGACGAGTTATGAGAAGCAAAGTTTTCATTTACAGTCTCCTCAAAGAAGAGAGGTGGAGAAGGAGGGAGAGGAAGACTTGGACTCTTCATCACCTTTTTCTTCCTGCTGAAGGACCCTAAGGGTCTTTCTGGAATACTAATTAGAGTCAGGATAGTAGTGATGGTCAGTATAATTGAGGTGAAGACATAGATGACACGCAGTTGCCCTCCCACAGCTTTTCCAAAACTGGTTTTATCCCAATGTATTCCTCCAACAACATAACCAAAGCCACCTCCAAGACCTGGTGGAAAAACAGAGTCGAGATTACCTTTCCTAGACAACCTTCAGAGTCAGAATCAGCAGAGCACCATTTGTCTAACAATTCATGAGTAGAATCCAACGTGTTACCTCTCTTTTACTACTTAATCCCCTTTCAACTCAAAGGCAGCAATAAGCAATTATCTGCACCACACAGACATACCGTTAGAAGAACTCAGATCTACCTGTGTCCAAGACTGACCAAATCACTTCAGACATGGAACAAGCTCATTGCTCAGAGACATGTCAACAGTGTACAAAAGCTACCTCTATACTACTACCGATAAACAGGGAATTCTGAGGCACCGGATGCCACGCTCACGCCATTCATGTGGTAAAAGCCTTATGACACTGTCTTTCCTTTCTTACGAACACATTAGAGAGCACAAAAAAAGTCCCCTGTTGGAGAGGAAAACTAGACTAGAGTACTACAGCAATTAGTGAATGATATGTGCTTTCTTCTCTGATACGGCACTAAAAAAAACATTTCCCACACCTGTGAAAAGCTGAATCTCCTTCCTATAGTGATAATTTTCTTCCTGTAGGGCTATAAAAGGCACAAGGATCTTAAGACAAATAGTGCAGGACTGTGTCTCATTTGACTTCTGTCAGCTACGAAAGCCTTTTGAAGTAAAAGTTTGCTTTCAACCTTATTTATTGCTATCTCTCCAGGTATTCAGTTATGCTTATACAGGGAGAGACCAACGATTTACACTGCCTTCTCACAGAACAGCTTTTTTACTCAGGGTCCATGTCACCCAGGAAATACAAAGAAAGCATACCTGCTAACAAAGCATGGATGTTGAGGCCCCTGTCTTGATCCATTGGGCCACATACATCCATCATGTAGGCATGACTAGGATTGTCTGCTGAATCTGCACTGAAGTCCATGAGGACAACACCACAGACTGTAAGGATGATCCCCCATTTGTGGTTATTCACAGTGTCAGACAAGGCGTTCCCAATATCTCTGCCATTCAGCATAAGTGAGAGCCCAAGCAACGCACCTGGGAATAAGAACAAATCAGAATCAAACAATTAAACATTTGTAAGCAAGAGAAACTGTATCTCTCCATGGCTTATAGGATATACGTAATCCTTTTACATTGTTTAAGCTTACAGATGCCTGGATTTGTGGATGGAGAAAGAAAAACATTCCTGACCCTCAAAACATCATCTCTCTTGTTAACTATGAGAAGAGAGATGCTTTTGTGTGTGAAAGTCCAGCTGCCAGAGCATCACCTCAGTGCCACTCACCACTTTCTTCAGACATACAATACCCACACCTGAAAGGCCCTTTGTTCAGCTTAATGCTACAGGGATGTCTACAACTAGGGATGCTACAAGAGACATGCAATGCTTCTACTTTACATGTGTTATGCCCATCATTTCTAAAAGACATACCTATTGCTAAGACCAGAATGAATGGCCTTCTCCTCCCGAATCTTGATGTACATCTGTCACTCCAGGCCCCCAGCAAAGGTTGTAGCAAGAACCCTAAAAAAAGGTCATCACCAATAAGCAGATTTTTTCTATCACCCTGTTTCATAGGGGGGTTAAAACGGGCAGTTTAGAAGACAGTCAAAGGCAGGACACCGTGACACAGTGATATCCCCAGTCAGTACTAGTCACCCAGATGTATACAGTTTAGTGCCTGACATTTCCCATGTTAGAGACTGAATAATGTAATGCACCACTGCTCATTCAGGACTGCTATGACAACACAACTCAGTCCACATCATTAGTACAAAGGAGTTTGACATCAGGTGAAAAGTAAGAGTAGAAAAATTAAGTTCCTTATCAGCTATTTCATTTACTCCTGTCTTATATTTGAGATCCCCTGCTAAATTAGCTTGGAGGATAGCAGCAAGTAAATATTCAAGTTGGAAAGGTGCTTGTCTGTGAGTACAAACCTACTTCTGAGGCATATCCTGGAAACACAAGGACGGGCAGAATAGTTTCCAAGCAGTCATAACCTATCTTAGGGTTCTTCCTGCAGTAGTGAACATACTCCCAGCCTTGTCTCCGTGCTCAGGCAAGTGACCTAATGCCAATAACAGCAGCAGTCAAGTCTTTCATCATTGGAATATTTTGTTTCTTTCAGAAAATTCAACAGGAGAAGGCGACCCCACTCTGCGATTTCCACACACCCATGGGAACTGTTTCTGTATACTTCTTTTCACAGGGGTGTAAATGGATGCAGTGATCCTCTTTTGCCATTTTTGTTTTGTTTTTAAATATAAGAAGTTAGTATAGTAACCAAAGCTTACTCTTGTGCAAGATGTGAGACACTGAGAAACCGTTAAAAGAACAGACCTTTTGATCACGCCAGGCCCATTTCAGGCAACACAGCAGTAATTATTTCTCCATTCAGTTGTCTAAAATTATGTCTTCTTAACCATGACATCATATGGAATATACTTGTGAACAGCTGAGGCAGAGAAAACAAAATCATTTATACCCCTGCAGAGTGGAAAAAAAACAAGAAGGAAGAAACAGCAGAAAGAAAAATTACCTAGTATAGGGCTGATGAACCACACCATTCCATACAGTTGGTCTGGCAGACCCATCTGAAGCAGCACAGGTGTAACATAGGCTGTTTCCATGGCATAGCTGAACTCAAGCCCAAAGAGAATGCACCCATTAAATAGGAGTTCTAGGAAAGACCTCTGAGGCTGTAGATCCCCAAAGTCAATCAGATCAATAGGACATGGAGTATTTGGTGGTGGCGGCGGCGAAGGGCGAATGCATTTTCTCCTTTTTGGATGTCTCTTGAAGTTGTTGGCCCGGTGACTTATATGCTGCGTGACTGATCCAGAATAGCCTGGAACTTGCGACCTCCAGATTTCCTGAGAAGCCACACTTGGCAAGAGTGCAGCATCACTGACAGGAGTTGTTGCAGATGGTGGAATCATCACGAGTAGGCAACTGGAAGAAAAATAGCTCAGAATAAAATGGTTGAGCAAGGAAAACCTTCTTTAATTTTATTTACCAAAGTTCAAACCATTTCTGAACATTTCACATAATGTTCAGAAATGCTATGCAGCATGGTGGGAGGATGAACAATTTGCAGCTCCATACAGGCATCCAGTGACAGACACTGCACAATACAACCTCAAACACCTCACAGAAGACCACTGTTAGGTTAAATTGTCTATATATAGACATATATATGTGTCTATAATGGAGAAGAAAGAGTGGGATACACAAGAGATCTACCAAAGTACTGCTAACTTTGTATCACGTGTTTCCTCAAAACCGTTCCTCTTCATACCAAGATGAATAATATGCAAGAGATAACGAAAAGTACTAGTAATAATTGTAACAACACGCCATGTCAACTGCTATCTCACAAGGCACCCACACCAAGCTGCATTTTGCTAGGAAAGCTCATTATACACAAAATATCCTGAATAGACTAGCAGAAGGAGAACACATGGAGAGACTTCATGATGATGCCCACATGGGTGTTCACCTTAATACTATTCTGACAAATTACTGAAAACTTCTTATGACCTACATCTTTCATAAGCAGAGAGTACTTTCAAGAGTACCCTTATGAGCCTTCAGGGTGAAGCGACTCCCTCGTGATGAGAATTTGTTAAAAACTACAGGAAAGATACTAAAGCAAAGACATAGTGAAAAACCAACCAGAACCCAACAATGGTTGCCCTAATGACTTTTTCACAGAGACAGTACAATACAGCTGTGCTAGCACTCCCCTTCACCACTGATACATCTTGTCATTTGCACCAAGGGCAAAGCGAGTTGATCTTTCTATATTTTTTTTACGGTTTTCATCTCATACTGCATCCTTCTTTATCTTCCTGCTTTGCACTGTACATTAGGTCATTATTTGTACTGCAAAGGGATCGTATCACAATTTATAAGCAGCAATATCTTGGCAATTATCGAAAGAACCCCTCTTTGTGGTGCTCTGTGACTTTTTGGAATGAAAGGCTAGTACTGACAGCGTTTTACTGGTAAAGCAGAAAGCCAGCGTAAAGCTGTGAGCCAAGCCTGTATTCCTCACCGCCCATTTTACTTCACATTTGAGCCTTTCACCAAAGGCTGTTTTTAGGCCTGTTCTGAGGTGAATCTATCTGGCAATCACAACGGCTTCAAAGCAGGAAACTTCTTCTGCGTGGAGAACAATTAGATAGCGGTTAGCTGCAGCCTGCTATTCATAGCTACTTCTGATTTTTGACATCAGTTATATAACAACCGCGCATCTTCATCAGCAGCAGCTTGGAGACGCTTGCTACCCAGGCGGCCCAACGTTTGTACGTGCACCCCGCCTGCCAAGGGCAGGGGCCCATCGCTCCCACCGAGCCCCTTTTTGCTGAAAATCATCGTTTTATATACTTTAGCGAAGCCCGGTAGAGATTTTTCTCGGGCGGGCACCGACGGCTCCAAAAACACCACAAACGCCACCCCCGGCACCGGCGGCCGCCCGCTCCGCTCCCCTGCCCTGCCCTGGTCCCGCAGCCTCACCTCAGGCGGCGGCACCGGGCCCGGCCCCGGCCCCGCACCGCGGCTCCACCCCAGCTCCCGGGCCCGCGGCCCCCACCCGCATCCGGGCCGCGGCCCCGCCCTGTGGCGGCGGAAGCGGCCCCTCCCGCGGGGGCGGGCCCCGGGGCCCCCCCGGTTGCTCTGGAGCCCCGTGAGGAAGAGTAGGAAGCGAGGATAATCTTGTGGTGCTCAAGGAAAGGGGCAGAGGATGGTGGAATTTTTCTTATCGCCAGCGATTCCCGGTTGCATAATGTGTAGTGTTTGATTTTTGAAAGGCAAGCTGGGCGTTATGATGGTCAAGTCTTGGTCGATGTCAGTGATCCTGAACATTTATGAAGTCCAACAGCCATAAAAGAAGCCATAAAAGGCCCTGCTTACAGCACTCATTCACAGCACAGCTGAAGTTATAGGGCTGAAGAGGGGGTTGTACCTGGTCTAATTGAAAGTGGAAGCAAGACCCTTATCCTGTCCTCACAAATGTTCTTTCTTGAAGCATCACCATCAACAGTCACACCAAAACATTTACTGCTTTCTATGACAATGCCCTGTGCAAGCACATTGTTCAAAAAATAATCCTAAAACGCTTGCCCATACCAGCGTTTCACTTTACTTGGTGAAAGCCAGCAAGAAACCGTTCAAGCACTGGCACTGTTGTTCTGAAGTACTCACTGTATTTCACCTTTTCACCTCCACCCATGTCAAAATACTCATGCAGATAGACTAAACACAGATGGGAGACGTCAGCGTAACATCACATACATCTTTGAATAAAAGTATCATTCTGTTCTTTTGCTGCCATGCCTGACCACTACAGGCTTCTATCAAAGATGATGCAGGTTCCTCTTTTGACACCGTCTATTCCCCAGTCCTTCTGGCAGGTTTGGTATTGAAATGTTCCTCATCTGTCTGTGCTGAGCTTTTCCTTTCAGCTCCCCAAGCACAGCACTTCTGCAGCCTACATCAAACCAGCCCTGCCACACAGCACTTCTCAGCATTGATGTTAGGTGGCTGTCACCACATCAAAATACTGTCTTCTCCTGTCACAAGGTCTCACCCACAGAACAGCAGCCACTGCTCCACTTGCAGTCTATTGAGAGAGCAAACTGATTTTAGAAGCCAAATTCTTAAGTGATTAAAAGTATTTCTGTGGCCATGGAAGAAAACAGTAACATTCTTGTACAAAACAACCTGCTGATGGCATCCCTTTTATTCATATTTCGAATGCCACAGCCACTGGAAAGATCCTTCATGCTTCTGAGCAGCATAAGCAAAAATTAAGATTTGCTAGGCAAAGGATGAAGGGCAAGGGCTGGAAGGGCAGGAACAGGGGAAGGTCCAGCCAGGAACAGGTAAGAGAACATGAATAGGCAGGTCTGCCAAAGGGATCAGACAGGTAGGGCAAGAGATGGCTGTTGCCAAGAAGAGCCAGTCAGCAGTAGTTGGAGTAGCACCAGCCACCGCTCACCCAGCCTCTAATGCTCAGGGACAACAACTAAATGGGTTGTGGGACTTTAAGGAAGAAATTCCTTACTTTGAAGGTGGTGAGGCACTGGAACAGGTTGCCCAGAGAAGCTGTGGATGTCCCATCCCTGGAAGTGTTCAGGATCATGTTGGATGGGGACTTTGAGCAACCTGATCTAGTGGGAGGTGTCCCAGCCCATGGCAGGGGTGTTGGAATTAGATATTTAAGGTCCCTTCCAACCCAAACCATTCTATGATACTATGGCTGTCAGACCTCCCACAGCCATTTGCTGCCTTTTTTTGCTGAAGATCCAGAGGAAACCATCCCTTCAGTGATGTAAAGATACCACTTGCTTTGTTCTAGTTTAACCCAAAAGCATTCAAAGAAGCAAGGTTTGGTGATGAATATGTACTGCTATGAATCCAAGATGTTTCCTTGTACCTTCTTTGGGTGCAAGATGGTTTGCATTCATTAAACCTTTTTGTTTGGTCTTTCTATGAAAGAACTTCTGACAATGTATTCATCTCTGCTCATTTACACCTTCATGCTAGGTTCACTGTTTCACTTGCCAACAGACATTTGCCTCTCTCAGTTCAGGACTACTCCTGTTTCTTGGAAGCCTCTCCTAGTACCCTTGCAATACTTTTCTCTGAGATAAACATTAGCTCCAATCAAGTGAAACTCCATCAAAAAATTGGGTTTCAGGTCTGTGATGCCAGGTATTCCTTTTTCATTTTTTCTTCTTAAAATTATTTAAAAGCATGCTACAGTTAGGTTCAGTGGCTTCACAGTATCAGTCAGCCAGACACCTGGAAACAGCAGTTTCTTTTTCAAGCATAACTAGACTATTTCTTTTGGACATACTAAGTCTGTACCAAAGAAACACACTGTGAAAGGTACTTGGTGGTTGGGGGCTGCAGCTTTAGGACATCCGAAGACCAGAAGAATCCTGAAGCAAAGATCAGTCAACACTCCGTGAGTGACCCAGAGGCCTTGTGAATCACAAAGTTTTTGTCTGCAAAGGATTCCACATACGCCCTCCACAAATTATTCTCCACCTTCTTCAGAACAGCAGACATGATGTTATAGAAGCAAAGAAATAAAAAACAACGAAGAAAAAATCCATAGTGTAGATTCTAGAACATCCCCAGAAGCTATATCCCCTTATGAAGAGATGGGTAAAAAAGGCTCTCAAAGAAAATGAAATGAATTTTAAAAAATAGCAGAAATAATTTCATTGAAAAGGCAGAAAAGTTACTTAATTTGGACAACTTTAATTTGCCTTCTCCTCAGTTCCAGGACAAAGGAGGTGGGGTGGCAGGGCAGTGGTTGAGGAAAATCCAGAGCAGCACAGGTTACAGTAGAATAACTGTCAAGCCTGTCTCGAGTCAGTTTGCACAATTTCTGAGTCAGTGATGCTGTCACATATTGGATAGCTTTCCTTTCCACAGCATGGAGAAGCACATAAGTTTCCCTGTGCCCAGAATGAAATGCTGCATATTTCTTCCTCTGTAGGAAGAATAAACAGTCTAGCTTAATGTCATAACCACAACCAGGGAGTAATACAGAGGAAAATGAATATCCTTTTCCTATTCCACATTGAAGGTATATTGCCTATGACGTTGAACACAGTGCAAATACAAAGTATGATACGAAAAAAAAAGAAGCAAGTTCAGACAGGGTAAGGCACATTTCAATAGTGCATTCTTAATGCTTATATGGTAAGAGGAGCTTACCACAAAGTATACCACCCTAGCTTCTTTTACATGTCAACTGAGTGGGTACAAGGAAGCTGGTGGGAGGCTAATACAATATAAGACCATAAAGAAATCTCATACATGCCAGTTTGCACAGTACCTGCATATCTGGCTCTTAGCATGTTGTCATATGACTTTAATAGCTTGGATAAATCCATTCCTGAATGTGGATTCACCAGAATCCTACACTGGCTATG